TTTCACCACGCTGCCTCACAATTTTATGGACACTACACGTGGACACACACATACACAAACGGCACACAATATGACACAACAATATGACACAACAATATGACACAAAAGAACACATCACATGTAAAAGTGTGTCGGTCACTTTGTAGCAGTGTGTATACATGTATGGTAGCTGTTAAGCACGAGGGGGCTATCCTGAAAAATGCTGTTTTGAGAAAAAAGAAGGAAAAATTTTTGCCCCTTGTTCAGTTTCTTAAAATCAATGAGAGTTTTCTCTATATCCAAACAAATATACACACCAATGAAACCAAACTTCTCCTATAGATAGGGCAATGCCTACTTTTGGAGTAGGTCAAGATTTCTGGAAACCCCCAAAATCTGGGTTAGCCCACTTGTCCTTAAAAGTGACCATTTATTAATGTATACTACACGTGGACACATAACATGGATGGCTGGTGCCTCCATAAATAAATCATTGATGGTCTGGTCTGACTAGACTTGGACATAAACATACAAACACAAACAGCACAAACAATATGACACAACAGAACGACACATACACTATGTAAAGGTGTGCCAGTCACCTTGTAGTAGTGTGTGTACATGTATTATATTACGCATGCTACACGTGGACACACACATACACAACAATATGACACAACATTACAACAAACACATTATATGGAGGTGTGCCGGTCACCTTGTAGCAGTGAGTATAAATGTATTATATTATGTATACTACATATTATGGACACACACAACAATATGACACAACAATATGACACATAGTAGGTGACGGTGGGTCGGTCACCTTGTAGCTGTGTGTATATATGTATTATATGGTCACTTTAAAGCACAAGGGGGTTATCCAGAAAAATGCTGTTTTGAGAAAATCGAAGGTAAAGTTTTTTGCCCCTTGTTCAGTTTCTTTAAAAGACAAGGAGAGTTTTCTCTATAACCAAAAAAATATACCCACCAATGAAACCAAACTTCTCCTATTGATAGGGCAATGCCTGCTTTTGGAGTAGGTAAAGATTTCTGGAAACCCCCGAAATCTGGGTTAGCCCGCGTGTCCTCAAAAGTGACCATATTATATACACTACACGTGGACATACACATACACAAACAGCACAAAATAATAATTCTGTCCCCGCTGTTTTATGCGTTAAAAAAATATATGAAATTATGCAAACTGAGCCCAAAAATGTGAAATTATGCGATTCTGTTAATTTTAACAAAGAATGATAAAGGAAAATGATCAGAAATTATGCAAAAAAATGATCAAATTTGGCTAAATTATGCGGGGTGCAAAAACCCCGGGGACAGAATTAATACGACACAACAATATGACATAACAATATAACACATAGTATGTTGAGGTGCGCCGGTCACCTTGTACCAACTGCCGCGGTCAGCGACAGACTCCGGCCGCCAAAAGTCCGCCCCGAGAGGGACCGGGGTCGCCCAGGTCACAGAGGTCAAACCGACCAGCCTGCGTACAACAACAGATGACCAGTAGCGGGTCGTCAGTCCTGGCGCAGTGGCTGGCCTGTAGTGCCACTATCTCACGATCTAGTCTGCTCTATCATTTGTGAGGCGTGCTAACAAAATGAGTTACTTCTCGCAATCCATGAAAGGAGATATCAGCCAAACATGAACACAAGGGCCATATTTGTAGACTCTAAAACAAAGCCATTCTCTTCAAGTTGAAAACGTCTTTTATCATTTCATACTGATAAATTGTAAAAATTCAAACTATAAATTTGATGTTTCTATTTCCATGGGGTAAAAATCTGAGAAGTAACTCATTTTGTCAGCACACTTCACAATTTTTTATTTCCTCCCCACATGGGATAGGAACTAATGCCGTCGACATGTACCCTATTCGTATGCCCTGGGTCATTTTATCCCACCCCCACCCCACATCATCACGACCTCTGTGAGTTCTTGTCGTATCTCCATTTTAAAAAAATTAAACAGTGAAAATGTGACTTTTTCTTAAGCTCAATCTTTGTTATGAACTGTTTTCACGCTTTAAAAAAAATGGAGATACGAGAGGAAAGCTCTGAGGTCGCGACATGGGATTGGATCTAGACTCTATAGTGCGGTCAAAAATTCGTGGCACAACTTCTCAAATATCATAATAAGAGGTGAATCAATGTCACCAATACTTTGCACAGTGTTTGTCTCAATTTGTCATAACTTAATCATAACAACAATTGAGGCTGGATGAAAAATCTTTTCTTTTGTAAATTTATGCAAAATACTACAAACCTCCTTCACGCGAAATACAGAACTGACCACAGCACTTCCCGCTTCTCACACACATTTTGTATACACATATGGGTTATGTCACAGCTCACCAATGACACTTTTTAGTGGCTAAACTTCCTACAAGAAATCAATTTTATAGTGAACATTTATTTGCACTAAAAGTTCTTAAAACATGTGTTCAATAAAGATAATCTCGCAATTTTTTAAACAATGACGGACATGCTTTTAAAAGCGAAATCGTCCCAGCTGTAAACCTTTTAATATCAGTAGAAACCACACTCTAGGATTTTTTATTAGTATTTACTAAGGAACTTTCTAGAATAGAGCCTACAGGTCTTTACAAAAAATATTTATCTGTTCAGACAAATTAATACAAGTCACTGTGCAAAAGCTGGAGAGTTTCTGTTCCATAGTTGAGGAGATATTTGCGCCACGAAGTTCTGACCGCACTATAAATAATAATGCCTCCTGCATGTGATGGTCAAGTGGTTAAAACAGTCACACCAACAGACGCCGGTCACCCCAAGTTCAAGCAGGCGCCACTAAGAGATTTGAACTACAGAAGTTACCTTGCTTACACTTGGAAAAAGAAAAAAACACGAAGTACCCTAAAAAAACCTTAAAAAACCCCCCCAACTAAAAGCAATGAGTTATGTGAAAGTCCCAACTTGAGTTTAAAATTAATAACAGCAAATAATAATGGTAACAATAATAATAAACAAAAAAAATAAATATAATAACGAATAATGACAATAATAATTATAACAATAAAAATAATA